CCCTCCTCCCCCGCACCCCACCCCCAATTTCCTCACTCCTACGCAAGTACGTTTGTGACACACAGAGGGCACTCCATCTGAGAGAGAGTTGAGCTTCTTTTTCTCGGAGCACCAGGAAAGCAGCACCCCGTTTTTCTTCTTGTGTAAATGGGGGTCTTGCAGTTTTACTTTTCACGCACCAAATTAAAACTGATCTTACTTTTTCCAGGTTCAACAAAATGTCCCTACCGAGGATAAATCGGGGCAACAGATCTCGGCCGTGGACAGTGAGTGAGGCGAATATCAGCGCCAGAGCAGCGGCTATGACCTTGGGAAGAAAGCCAGGTCTATCATCCCGTACCCGCTACATAGGGACCGCCAAGAGCTCTGTGCTCGCTCGCTCCCAGCCTCGGCTCCCAGTGTCCTCCGCCACCTCGTCGACCGACGTGCTTCCCCCGAAGAGCATCCTCAACACACGCCGCCACGGACACCAGAAGAATAACAAGGAGGGGATGGACAACGACAACGATAACGACAACGACGAGGACAAGCCCTTGCTGGAGATCCGCCCCTTCGTTTCCATGAGCAATTTCGACGACCAAAGAGATAAGCTTAAAGGAAAAGACGGCTGTCTCAACTCGAGAGTCAAGCAGTGTGTCCGGTTTGTGAGGTACAGGGAGCGGTTAGACAAACAGGACGATGACCGACCCATGAAGTACGAGTCTGGAAGGTACAGACCTTTCTCCAATACTAACATCCGGGAACACGACGTCCCAAACCCTCCACCAACCCCAGAGGCGAAGCTTCAGAAATCCGTGGAAACCTACAGGAAGTACATAGAGAACATTGCTATTCAAACAAAAATGTCGTCACCGAAACCTTTCACCTTCAGGGGGGTCAGCTCGGTAAACACTCGCCAACATTCGTCATTAACGGCATCCACTTCGGGGGTGGACACAGATTCTATGGTGGTTCAGTCTGTCATGGATTCCAACCTCCCAGACACATCTGGGGCACCGTCAAGAACGTCCATGACGTCACCGCGTCCACAAAACTCGGCCATCTACACGAAGGACGTCAGCCAGGTGAGTCGCGCGCTGGACATCAAACGTCTGTCGCCCAAAAAGAGCATTAACCGGGTGGTGGCGGGCACGAGGGGCGTGCAGCAGAGAGACAGCCCCGCCCGCTGTGCTTCAGACAGCAGTGATGAGGGTGTGGACGTTGGGGAGACCACGCCCACTAATGCCACAAACGCCATTGTCGTTCCCATGATGCCTCCTAAGTCGGAGTGCGCGTCCGAGTACTCCATGAACAAAGAAGACTGAAACTGAGCCTAAAAAACACCTGGACATAGATGGCTGGTGCCTCTATAAATAAATTATTGATGGTCAGGTTAAGACTGAGACTGAGCCTAAAACAACACCTGAACCTAGCAGGCTGTTGCCTCTATAAATAAGTTATTTATGGTTTGGTCAGGAGTAAGACTGAACACCAGACCAGAGAGTCCATGGGAACAGAGAAAAAACTGCGAAAGGAGCAAGCTCTGCACATATTATGTCACGATTTGTTAAACACTTAACCCGGCGTAGAAACACAGGCTTCTTTGAAATAGTAAATCCCAAGCACCTGTCTTGTGGCAGTTTTGATTTACTTTATGGACACTCGATGCATACTGTGCTTTATTTTATCACTATAACGTTGTCCACAGAGAGTAATATCTAGCATTATGAGTACAGATCTTATTTTTATATATTTACTTTACTCTCCATCAATGTGGCGGCTCATAATGGACACCGTCATGCACTCATGTCTGTTTTTGTACAACCTGCTCCTAGTCTTAATAAGTATCTAATTTTGAGAGCTGGGAAGCTCTGCCCCTTAGATACCCTGATACAATAATATTATTTGTAATATTGTACAACTCCTGGTTTCATGATCTGGGACGTTTGTCTTTCATATAAAGACGCCATAGTTCTCATTCCATTCTCGCGTGCCTTAGATTAATTTATTGAACAAGTATTATTTCTCTGAAGCCTTTTCTTTTTGGAAATGAGTAAATGTGCAAACGTTCTTGTTGTTTATTTATTTGTTCATTTATTCATTTACTCATTGTTTAATGTATGTTTTTTATTTTTTTAAATTTCTTCATTCATTTATGCATTTATTTCTTCATTTATTTTTTTCTTTTATTTATTGAGGGAGCTAAAGAGGGTGGAATTTGTTACAGTTTTTAATCTCCGTTTTTTTTTCTGGTTCGTAAAACGGGGGAGGGGAGGGTATAAAAGTTTTAAATGTTAAACTGGCAATGCAAAGAAATTGATATGGTACCCTCTGCAAGGTGCCAAACAAGCAATACTGTCCGTTCGGATTAGAGTTGTAGCTCGGAGATGTTATGTCTTGAACGAAAAAAATGAATCAAATCATAAGGGGATGGAAAATGATCAACGATTATGAACTTTAATGTCATGTTTATGTCTACACAGATGAGAAAGTTTACTCTTGTTACTCTTGAATTTCTACATGCGTTATAGGATGCTTTTGTTGTCTTTGTACCTGTAAGTTCTTCTTCCGAGGCGTGTGTTTGATGATTTAATGGACGCTTGTGCTGTTTTTTTGTTATATCTCTTTTAACTTTTGTAAAGAGCAAAGTTGTTGTTGTCTTTCCCTTAAAACAATGCACTTAAAAATACTTGCGTTTGCACGATAAGTCTTAGGTCCCTTGGATAATTACACTGGAAAACCCGCTTTGTGTATTTAATCATCAACGAGCAAATGGAAGCACATTGATTTACATAGTCTAAGACATTTTTATTCTGTTGAAGACTTTTCGCTATACATGTCTCTTTTTTAAATAAATGCAATACATTTCGACCGCATTCTCTTTCTCTCATGAATCCAGCTCCCTCCCAAAGGGACATGAAATATACGTGTCCTTTCCTTACTTCTTATTCTTCTCATATTTTACAAGTTTATTTTAAAAGATGGCCCTTTTTCTTTCTTTTAAAATTTATAGTTTGGTTGTTTGTTCTGTTTTTAGTATTAGTGTTCTAAACCCCCATCGACGCTTTTTTAGAACATGTAGGTGACTGACCTTGACCTCTGCCCGCCAGGGCCAACCCGGGACGAGAGGGATGCCATATACAAGCAGAAGAACGCAAATTCCTGATTAAAATTATATCTGCACAGGAATCGAACTCTGACCTCACACATGTGACGGTGAATCGTCTAACGACACCCTCACTGACGCCAGTGACTTAAATTGTTTGGTAAAAAACGTATCTTTTGAAAGTCAAAGTTAGTTGTTTTTATTTACCAGTTTTTAAACTCTTTTTTATTCCCGCCGGGAAGCCACAATTATGTACTGCAAAGGCTTATATTTATTACATTCCTTATATTAAAACTAGATAGGTTTATCTAAGCATAATGTGCGTATGAGATCGAATCTAAAAAGTCAAAGGTCACGAACTACATGTTACGAAAGACGTGTCATGCTTCAAGTGCTGCGAAAGCTCTCGGGATATCGCCAAGTGGGCTGAGATCTTCGATCTGTCGTTTCTCAATTGTTGCAGTCCTCATAAGAGTTTGCATACGCTGATTAGAGCTAACACCTCTGATGCTCGTGATAACACTCTCTGATAACAGGCAGTGTTGGGAAGTTTCTGAATCTTTCACGATGAGAGTGTGTTTGGATTTATAGTCACAGAAAGTTTGTTTCACAACTTACATTATTAGTTAAAAACAGCATCAAGACATAATTATTATAATATAAGACAAAGTCATGTCGTCATATGCAGAACTATTCGGGACATAAAATCAGCTCTGGAACACCCTCCTCACCCCCACCCAGCCCCACCCCCAATTTCCTTTTTTTGCAACATGGTTTCCAATTTTTTTTAAAACCCATGCTAAAGTAAGTGACGATAGAACTCGGTCAATACGACATTTGTGAGGCAGCGTGGTGGAATCAGGCTCTCGTCGAAATAATCAAAGTGAAGAAACTTGCATTTTTCCACACGTTTGTGAATTTTTATAAAACTTTTGTCTTTGGTCTCAACACCTTTCATGCCCAGTAAAAAAAAAAACTCATTTTAGTGTGGATTTTTCTGAAAAACGTTGATTAAAGGCACAAAAGATGTCAATTTTCAGTTACCACGGACACTTAAGCTAAGGAAATAACTGATCTTTGGAGGCCATTTTCTCACTAATTTTACCTCTGAAAACAGGTGACCCCTACCTCCTTCAAACTCAAATATCTCGACTTGCATTTAAGCTAAATGGATATTTTTTTCATCCAAATAAAGACCAGCGAGCAAGCTTTAAGGTGATACCAATAAATCTATGTGCCCAAAAATTGACGAGAGCCTGATTTCACCACGCTGCCTCACATTTCTTTGTTTTCCTCCCTGCCCACACGACGCAAATAGGCGCTGTACATAAAGGTGGCTGCCCGTAATGGCCCGTGAACAGAGAAATAATCAATGCAATACACAAGGAGGAAACATAATATTGTAGGAAGCAAAGATTGCCCCGAATGAAACACTAGATCATTAGAGCTACAACAGCTCAGCCGTCATAAACGAACGATAGAACTTGGGCTATTGTGTGAATTGTTTTTAAGTTTGTTTAATGTTTTGGTGGGGTTTTTCCTGTGGGATTTTTAAATTTCTTATTCATTAAATTCATTTTGTTTTTCTTCTTTTTTTTCTTTACTCTCTTCAAAAATTGATCAAAATGATATCGAAATTGATTTCAGCATGAGATCACATCATTTAAGAATGCATTTCAAGAAAATACCAATCAATTTCAAGAAGTGAAGGCATTGATCAAATTTTTGCGTGACTTTATCGACTTATTTTCGTAGGGAAAGTTCGTTTCACGAACTAAAAATAAAAGAGTATCGAGTTGAAAGAAAAGCTGAAATGTAAATTTCAAGCATGCTCGACGCTATTTCTGTATAATGCATTGCATCGAAAATATGTGAGGCAGCGTGGTGGAATCATGCTCTCGTCAAAATGATCAAAGTGAAGAAACTTGCATTTTTCTGCAGGTTTGTGAATTTTTTTCAAATTTTTGTTTTTTGACTCAACACCTTTCATGTCCATTAAAAAACTCATTTTTGTATGAATTTTTTTGAAAAACGTTGATTAAAGGCACAAAATTGTACATTTTCAGTTACCACGGACTCTAAAGCTAAGGAAATAATTGATCTTTGGCGGACATTTTCTCATTAATCTTATCTCTGAAAACAGGTGACCCCCACCCCCTTCATTCGCAAATATCTCGACTTGTATTCAAGATAAATGGATCTTTTTTTCACCCAAATAAAGACAATGAACAAACATTAAGATGATACAAATAACTCTACATGCCCAAAAATTGACGAGAGCCTGATTCAACCACGCTGCCTCACATATGCAGGTTGAGCATAGCCTTATAACTGCACCGTGATCAAATAGGGTTATATTAAAGGTAGGTGGCTCTCACAAAAGTTGCTCAATTTGGCGCCGATTCCTGTTTTCTAAGCTATATATAGCTACTACCCACGGCATGTAAGTCTACATTCGTACGAAACAAATCAGGGGGCTCTCGTGGCCTAGAGGTTAAGGTGTTGGCCTCTCATTCAAAGGTCCCGGGTTCGAATTTGGGTAGCGACCGAAACATTTCTTCTCTAAAATTGTCTCCTTTCATCTTCTTTCCTGCTCTCTAGCAATGTTCTGTTGTCTGCTTTCATTTCCACTTTCTGCCCCCACCCCCTCACCTCCTTTGCTCCCTCCTCTGGGCTGCTGACTCTTTCTGTAGCCTTTCTACTGCTACTCCTTGGCTCCTTCTTACTGCTGTCTTTCTGCTACACCCCTGATCTTCTGGTAAGAAAGATCTATACCTAGCCTTCTCGGACAAGGGCGAAAAATCTCGGAGGGCCCGTGTGCAAGTTGCACACGTTAAAGATCCCTTGATGGTCTAAAATCGATAAGAGTAGGCTTCGGCCGCCACCTGGGCAAAATTCAAAATTTCCTACCAACTCAAAATATTAAGTGTGTCCCGCGCGCTCATATGACCTTATGCAGTTGCGAGCGCCGTAAAACACTTTACAAAAACAGAAACAAAAACAAACAAATCAGCTATCCGAACAGTATAAAGCAGAGACCTCTCGAGCTGATCAAATCAGTGTTTCGCTGAGAGACAGTGAGTTGTAGTGTAAGAAAACACGAACATTTGCTTTAGTCTCTTTTTCTTTCAGAAACTGTAATCATTTATGCTATGTCATTTATGAATAATGTGGTTTTAAAAAAAGAAACACTATTTGGCACCAAGATAACTACCGATGAACAGAACTAAAACGATCTCTTTAAAAAGTAGTGTAATCAACATTCCGTTTTCTTGAACTATTCCGTTAAGCGTACAAAATGTACTTTCATTTTGGGTGGTTAGCGGATGCTCTAGTGTTGTCAGCTCCTTCTTTCCTCTCTAACATCTATCGTCCTAATCTATTTTTAATGTGTGTTTGTTGCTCTCTAGTAACACCTCTAATCCTTGTCACTTATATGATCTTATTGTATTGCAAGTGCCGTAAACTCTTACCACAACTAAACGAACCTTCGTGGAAAAAGTTGACTTAGTAACTATTACGCAGTCAGGCAGTACATTCTATTAAAGAGTTGCCTCTTTTTGCTTCCAGTCAGAGAAAGGTACAGCGGCCTTCGTGTAACGATCTTATAAAATGATGATATTGATGATGATGATGATGATTGTGATGATGATGATGATGATGATGATGATGATGATGATGATGATGATGATGATGATATTTACATAGTCTCCTTTTCAAAACAATCACTCACTTAATTCTTTGACACATGTTAGATTTACCCTCGTTCTTGCACTTACATTCTGCTCATTAAAATATGGTGCATAATTAATAAGCTGGCTTTGAAAAAAGGCTTGGAGACATTTCTGACTGAATCTGCAAACTGGAAACACTGTCTTAAAGACATAGAATAAAATATTGAAACATTAAATGTCGTACAATAAAAAGCTATAAGAAAATATGATCTCACGGGGAAGAACATTAACAGACAAATTTATTGTTATCCAGAAAAAAGACAGAATCGAAAGCTGAAAAAGTGACTTCAAGAGCTGTTTTATGAGATATGATTTCAAGTAATAGCAAATGCAAACATTATACAAGCTACAGCATGAAATCTGTCTATATGAAACAGCTCATACAGAATGAAAGACAGCGATAAATAAAAAAGAAATTAATGAGAACAGCAGAAAAGAATACGGCACTTTGAAGTGAACACAAAAACCGACACACCAAAATTACGTAAACATAATGAATTATTGACTGTTGTTTCGTAAAAAGGGTTCTTACTACTCCGGTACACGAGAGTTATTCTGTACCTTTACTTTAATTATACCTTTAATACAAGCAAAGTTATGGCAACACATAAAAAAACAAAAACATTGATATGTCAAGAGTTTTCTTCTGGAATGGGTATCTACTGCATTTCTACGACTGTTTTTTCTATATCTACACTCTAAATGATTATGCTTTTTCACTTCTTTGTCAGATAAGCCAAATAATCTTAATTAATTTTATTGATCAAAAGTCAAAAATACAAAGAAACTGGCACATTGTATTTTCGGGGACTCTCACATTCCAAAAAAAATATAGTCTCAAAAGAAAACAAAAGCTAATATGGCATCAACGTTTCCTCATGCCAAAATCAATGTCAAGTCCCATGTCAAGGCCGTCTCCAGCCAAGGCCATCATGCCAAGGCCAAGGTTGTTCATATTCATATTTGAACCCCTTTGGGACGCGATGAATCCAGTGGGCGGCTGAGCGATAGTCATGCCAGAATACGGGTTTCCACTGGCCGCTGATATCGGCACTGGAGGTCTTTGGAGTCCGCCAAACGCAGGCCTTCCACCACCGAGCCCAGAGGACATCAGCATCCATGGAAGAGCGCCTTCCCCTCCGTCCAGCATATCTCCAAAACCTTCCCCCAAATCCCCAAAACCTCCCATATCCCCAAACCCCTCGCCCATATCTCCGAAACCTTCGCCCATATCCCCAAACCCTTCGCCCATATCACCGAAACCTTCGCCCATATCACCGAAACCCTCACCCATATCCCCGAAACCCTCTCCAATGTCACCTAAACCCTCTCCCATTTCGCCCAAACCCTCTCCCATTTCGCCCAAACCCTCTCCCATTTCTCCCAAACCTTCACCCATCTCACCCAAACCTTCACCCATATCCTCAACCATATCCCCACCATCTCCATCAAGTTCCAAACTGTCGTCATTATCATCACCCATATCATCCCCAACATCCTCTATATCTTCCAAAACATCTTCTAAATCATCCCCAACGTCGTCGTCTACTTCCTCGGAAGAATCATCATTATCATTATCAATATCATCGCCTATTTCGTCCATCACATCTTCCATAGCATCCTTCACGTCATCAACAACATCTTCCACAGCATCAGCCACGTCAGGAACATCGGGTGCATCACCGACCACGTCGCTCAAATTCTCCACCACGTCACCGGCGGCGTCTGCAACATTGTCCGCCACGTCAGCCACGCCATCGCCTAGGGCCACGTCTGAGATTGCATCAGCCACGTCACCGCCCACGTCAGCCACCACGTCCACGGCATCCCCGGCCACGTCGGCCACAGCGTCGCCCACACTGCTCACAGCGTCCAGCACACCGTCTGCCATGTCTGACACCACGTCTTGGACAGGGTCGCTCTGTTTTAGATGATGAAAGGGGGAATAAAGGAATAACTATATTATGTGTCATGACGCAGTGGAATCAGGCGTTCGTCAATTTTTGGGCAAGTGGAGTTATTGGTATCACCTGAAAGCTTATTCCTTTGCCTTGATTTCAATTTTTTTAACTCATGTAATTAGAATAGAAGTTGAGATATTTGCAATTGAAAAAGGTGGGGTGGCCTGATTCAGTGGTAAGATTAGCAGAAAAATGGGTGCCAAAATTTGGTAACTTCAATAGTCTGAGAGTTAATGAAAAGTGAACATTTATTTTGTGCCTTTAACCAATGTTGTTTTTTTAAGTGAACATGGTAGTGTGTTTTAATAATATGGACATAAAAGGTGTTGAGCCAAAAAGAAATGATTAAAAATGCCAAACTGGCGTAAAAATGCATGTTTCTTTGATTTCATCAGTTTGGCGAGCGCCTAATTTCACCACGATGCCTCGCGTATTGTCTTTGGGTGATTTATTATCTCGACCGCTGCTGCTATATACGACATATATGATGAACCAGCTTACGATTAACGCAATACATAATGTGCATGTGAAATACTTGTATCAGTTAACAAGTTTAAACTCTTCGCCATTCCTTACCCCCCCCCCCCCT